AGGGAATGCCATGAAATGGCAGTTGTTATATCTGGGTATTGAAAAGGGCATAGACTGGAGAATCGGGAAACTTGAATCCTACTCTCAATTCCTCAACTAAGAAAGCTATCTATAAAGCACCTTCTCTGCATCAGGCACCAGGCTTGGCACTTTTCGTAGGCTCACAGTGAGTGTGTGTGTGTGTACAATTAAATATCATAGGTGCGGAAACTGAAGTTTAGCAGGTATAGTTGGGAAGGCCATTCCATGCTATGTCTTCAAGAAATAGTGAGAAATGAAACACCAAAGTGCCTAACTGTGGCAGTTTACGTGTGAAAGGCCATGGGCCTGTGGCTCTGGAGTCTTTGACCTGGCAGGTTTATCCCTCCCTGAGGGCTGCAGACCCCTGAACTTGGCCAAGGGTCGGTGAGGAAGTAGGGAGGCATACAGAAGCTGCACCAGTTCACTTTTATCCTCATCTTGTATGTGAGCTTCACACTTCCTGCTGAAGGCAGTCTGTTCTCATTCTCATAAGGTTTTTAACCCAGATTAGTCCTTTGAGGTCTGGCTTAGCTCAGTGGTTTAAATAATTTATCCAAGGTCATATAAATAGTGAGTAATGGAATAAGGGGTTTGTTCTACAGCCAGTGGTCTTTGCATTTTCCCAGTAGTGACTGCACCAACAATGTGGTTTGGGCAGGTCATTTCACCTCTCTGTGCTGTAATTGCCTCAACTGTGCTATGAAAAAGCAAATAAATGATCCAGGTGGACCCTGTTGTTGAATGCACATTAAGAGATTCTTTTGTTTTCTTCAAGATGGCAAATTCCTTAAAGACAGGGACTATGCTTTTTACATTCTTGAATCACTCAAACTGCTTTGCAAATTAACAAGTGAACATTTGTTGATGCAGAGTGAATGAATGAATGAATGAATGAATGAATGAGTGAAACAAAGAAAATAGCGCCCTAACTAGTATGGCTCAGTTGGTTGGGCATTAGCCAGCAGAGAGAAAGGTTGTGGGTTTGGTTCCCTGTTAGGGCACATGCGGGCTCAGTCCCAGTTGGGACATGTACAAGAGGCAGTGGATCAGTGTTTCTTTCTCCCAGCAATGTTTCTCCCATCTCTTTCTCCACCTATTTCCTGCTCTCTAAAAAATAAATAAATAAGAAAATAGGCTTAATATTTTTCACAACAGATTTTCTTTACTTATTTTTAATCGTCACCCAAGGATCCAAAGAGAGGCCCCCCAAAATGGAATTTATTTATAAAAATGTGTGTATTTATTCTTACATGTTTAAACTTCAGTCACCTTCAAAGTACTCTCCATTTGATACAATACACCTATCGAGACATTTTTGCCCACTGCTCCAAACAGTTTTTTAACTCATCAATGTTGATGTCTTTTAGTGCTTCTGTGGTTTTTTTGTTTCTTCCACAACAACACAACATTTCTCTTTGAGGACTTTTTTTCATTGGGCAAAATAAGAAAAAAGTCCCTTGGGGTGAAATCAGGTGAATAGGGCTGGTGAGGCATGGATCAAAAACTGCTGAACCCTCAGTGTGGTGTGGGCAGGTGCACTTGTAAATCACCCCTCATAAATTGGGCAAACACTTTGCATGAGTCTTAAAAAAACCCCACTGAAGCCGAAATGCAGCCTCTCACAACAACGCCAGCTGGTACACTGATCTAGCTGGGTTCCTAGAACACTCACCTAGTGGGGGAAGCCTGTCCTACAAGGGGCCTGTCCTTTAGAAGATAATTCCATTTTTGGAGGTTCCCCTCTTGTATTTCCATTGATTTTAGAGAGAAAGGCAGTGAGAGAGAAACATCAATGTGAGAGAGAAATGTTGATCAGTTGCCTCCAGTATGTACTCCAACCAGAAATCAAACCCACAACCTAGGTATGTGCCCTGACTGGGGGTCGGACCTGCAACCTTTTGGTGCATGGGACAATGCTCCAACCAACTGTGCCACTTAGCCAGGGCATAACAGATTTTCAATGCTAGAACACAAGCACCTGTGGGAGTGGGGAGCCTAAAACCTCATGGGTTCGCATTTCAACTGTGGAGTCTTTTATAAAGACTGCATTTGTCAAGAGCCTCTTCACAAGATGCTTAGCAAGCAAGGGTCACCTTGTTCTCATCTCAAAAGAACAAAGAATTGAGGTTAGGAAAGCAGGAAGCCTAGAGAGGATCAAGGTGAGAGCTGGGTCTAATAAAGCTGTTTGGGCTATTTTTGTCTTTGTGCTGCTGTTACAGCAACAAAGGACAAAACTGACTATTCAAATCTAATAAAACTAGACCCTGTCCAAACCGAATTTTGAATAAGTGATGAACAATGAATGGGGTGCATGCCTTAACGTCTCTATTTGGGCATGCAGTTGAGAACTACAATATCTTATGTTCCTGTCTATAATTTAAACACACAATGTTTTAGAAGATATAATACAGTTACTTGTGCATTATTTAATAGTGTTCTCTTTTTATGCCAAAAATAATCCAAATGAAGGTACATGCCCTCAGGAGGCATAGAATCTGGGGATTGTGTAATTACTGATTTTAAACTTCAAATCTCATTGAAGTCTTTAGTTAACATTTCTAAATCTTTCTGCCTGAAGACGTTCAAGCAGACACCTCAGCAACTGTCTTGCCCCTTCCACCATCCCCAGCCAAGGTGGGGCGGAAGGAAAGACCTGCACTGCCAATAATTGACAAAGGTTATTTTTGCAATAAAAACAGGAATTTGCAGCTTACACCGGTGCCTGGTTTTGTCTGAGTTTCACAAAGACCAGCATCATATTGAAATTATAAAATTACCGTTTTCTGAAAGAAAAATCTGGGGAGAAGTTAAACATTGCTCTTTTTTATTGTTGAAAATTACTTAAACTTATAATTTTTATGTAAAGGCAGCTTGGATAGGGGACGCCATAAGGACCCAAACTGTTTTTGTGAACCACAGCATTTGCAGGAAATGAAAACATTACATAAACCAAAACCAGTGTCTCTGAGACAGACACAACGCGGGATGTTTCCTGCTGCTGCGGGGAGGGCCACCAGTGGTGCTTTACCGGCCTTCAACTGAATCCCGTATCTGCGGTCAGTTTCAATCCAAGAAACAGGCAGTCAAGTCACATAATGTCCTGACTTCCAATTTTTTAAACCACTTTGTGATAGCAGTTAGCTTTTTTGTTTCAGAACAGGAAAAGGAAAACATGTTAATTAAATTTTGGTTATTCTTAGTGTGGATAATTTTTACATCTTCAGTGTTATTTTAGTCTGCAAAAAAATGTATAGAACTGAGATGGTTCTGAATTCTGTAGATCGTGTTTCAGGCTTCCTAATGTTATTTTAAAGTTCTGTGCAAGGTAGGATATGAAAGAAGAAAACACTTCCTCGCCTAAATAACCTCGATCTTAGTAAATGCTCCAACAAAGTTTATTTTGACCCTGAGTTCAAATGTTCCAGCTCTACTGGATAATTGTACTGAGCTACTCTTCTGTATTTATTAATGTTAAATTTATATAAGCTCTTAAATTGTATAAGTTCAACTCTATTCTCTAAAAGTGAGCCAGACCAATGAACTAAGTCCAAGAACATCTGACTGCTAGAATCTCCTTATCAGTCATGTATGTCGCTCTGCCACTCCCAGCCATAGGAAAGTAGGGACTAGCTCTGAGGGTCTGTTTGACAGGGGTGAAAATCTCATAGGTATGAATAGTTTTTAATCTTGAAAGGATACTAGTACTACTTAACTAGTAACTGCTTAACTATTACTAGCTTCTGGTATCCAATTAAGAAAGAAAACCATTTTTTAACATTTTCACCAAAGCCTTGGAATAAAATAGGAATAGGGCAATCCTCTAGGGCTTTATTTCTGCAACCCCAGAACGTGCTTCCTGAGGCTGTCACAGGGAGAAACCAATAGCTTTCAGTGCAAATCAGCCTTGAATTTGACAGTCCCCTTTCTAAGGAATATTAAGCTCTAAGGAATGATGATCATATTTTGCTGTATATGATGCGCTCCTGTGTACACTGCACACCCATGTTTTTGGCCCAAACTTTCAGGAAATAATACTTTCATTTTAATTTTTTAATTCAATTGTATATTTATTTATATTTAGATACTTGTTTTTTGTATTATAAAGGAATTTTAGCATTTATTTTTTAACATATTATGGTATAAGAAGTTTTTTTTTGTTTTTTTGTTTTTTTGTTTTTTTTAGAGAGAGGGAAGGGAGAGAGAGAGAGAAAGAGACAGACAGACAGACATCAATGTGCAGTTGCTGGGGGCCAAGGCCTGCAACCCAAGCATGTGCCCTGACTGGGAATCAAACCTGCAACACTTTGGTTCACAGCCCACACTCAATCCACTGAGCTATGCCAGCCAGGGCATAAGAAGTTTTATGTAACAAATAATTACAAAACACAAGAACAGACGCAGGGTATTTCAGGTACTACTTGTGTATAATGTGCATCCTTATTTTTCCCTCAAACACTTGGGCAAAAAGTATGCTTTATACATGGCAAAATATGGTAAACAGATTTATAGAATCTAACATGTTAAGTGAATCTCATTTAGGTGAATTGGGAATGTCAGTCTGTATAGTTTTATAATGAATATCTTAAGCTCTGCTTGATTTGCCTAATGGATTTCTTTATTTGTTAAGGACAAAATAAGTTCTAATTTAATATAACTTTTGCAAGTTAATATTTAGTTAAATAATACAATGTAACATTAAATATATCCCTAACTATATTGTATATACTATAGCAGTTACATAGTTGATATGGGTTTTATGTGTATATATCATATATATCCTTTTTTAAAAAATAAAATTGAAGCTAAAACTTAAATATTCACCCTTTCTTCCTTGTTAGGAAAAATTTCTTTAGAAATTATTATTATAAATACCCCAAATATAAATGTACTCTGTTCTTAATTTTTATTCCTTCTAGTCTATCCTTCATGGGCACCTTGAATTTTCATTCTGAAATACGGTTTGGTCTGTGTCTTTACAGAGAAAGTCCAAATCCTAAGCAAGTGTGCGAGGTCCTTCACCATCCAGCCACAGCCCCAGTAACCCATTGTAATCCACAGGAGTCTCCCACTCAACATGTCTGGTGTCTTAAATGCTCTTAGTTCAGGTATTTTGGCCACCATTCTCCTTTGTTAATTGCATATGATATGTTCATCTAAGAGTTTTCAATATATAAAACTCCTACATGGGGTAAAAATCACTCTTTGTATTACCAGTTACAAAACCCACTGAAAAGGCTTGATGCTACTGATAAAATACTAGATAGTATTTACTTCTGGATGGCTTTACCTCCCAGCAAGATGTTGTTAATAAAATTTTGGCATTCATTGTAATGAATTTGATCACAGAAGTCAAATTTTATATTTCTCTTTATGTTTCAATCATTATTTCAAACTGAAAGGAAAAAGGAGAACATTTGTTTTTGTTCCCTTAGGCATTTCCTCAAACAATTTCATAATTTTTACTCATTTAAATTTCACACATATTTATTGGAGACATTTGAAAATAGCTAAGAAAAGGGGAAACAAAGAAAACTACCCACATTTCAAGAGACAACCCTTATTGCCACTTTGATGCATAACTTTCAAATATTTATTTCTCTCTCTATATATATGTATATACACATACACACACATATACATACACACATATGAATCTTCCTACAAAAGTGAGGTCATAGGAGAATCTTGTTTTGTAACTTGCTCTTTAAAAACTTAACACCTTATTAGAAACATTTATATATTAGTAAAAATTAATCTTCATAATTTTACTGGTTATGTATTGTTCCTTCATATGGAAATATGGTAACTTATTTAACCAGTCCTTAATTATTGGACATTAATGGATTGAAGATTTGTTATTACCATATATCATCATATAAGATGGGATTTTTTTTTGTATTGTAAGGAACTTTAACCTTTTCATTTAAAGGGGGCACTTTATGGCTTCTCTTTGGCATATTCAATCGCCAGCATCACTATTCTTGAGTTTTGTGGCCATTGCTAAGTAAAATAAGGAGTTACTGAAACACGAGCACCATGATAGAATGGCAGGTGGTTTGATGACTGAGGTGGCACTAAGTGACTCACTGGCAGAGAGGGTATAGAGTGCGCGTCTGTGCTGAACAGCGGGGCCATTAACATCCTGGGTGAGATGGAGCAAGATTTCATCACGTTACTCAGAACAGTGTGCAACTTAAAGCTTATGAATTGCTTATTTCTGGATTTTTTTTGTTTAATATTTTCAGACCACAGCTGACACAGGGTAACTGAAACCTCAGTAACCGAAACCAAGTAAAGCAACACTGTGGGTGAGGTGGGACTACTGCATAGGCACTATGTTGTACGACGGGTCTCTAGTCTTGTTGCTCAGCAAACTTTACACCAGTTAACCAGCAACCCTTCATTTCCCTTTTCCTCCAGTTCCTGACAACCAGCAGCCCACCACATTCCCTTCATCCATTCACCTATGGAGGAGACATTTGGGTCGTTTCCCTATCTTGACTACTGCGAATGGTGCCACAGTGAACATGACAGTGCAGGCATCTCTTTGAGATCTTGATTTCAGTCCTTTTGGAGAAATGCCCATAAATGGGATTGCTGGATCATATTTAAATAACTTATTTAATTTAGTCTATCAAATTAAGTTCCATGGACAAAGTAAGTCAATGGTGCACAAGTACTAGGCACTGTCAGTGGATGTTGTGTGAATACCAGGGTCTTGATCAACAGGCTGAAAGGTGCAAGTTATCAGCCTAAGGACTCCCAGGAAGCATGAGGACGGGCTGATGTCGGGGCCTAGATGAGACTTCAGTTGGTTAAGGCTCTGCATCTTCATGGAATTAGAGGAGCAAAGATATCATGTGACAGAAATCACCAGAGCTAGAGTCTTTGTGCTCATTTTTTTTTTTTTTGTAATGTGGAAGTTAATTCTAGGCCCTGCTATTATGAAGTAAAATTAAAAAGCCAAAATCAAAACCACGTTCTTGTAAAAGAAAGTGTTGTAACTCCTGGTGAGAGAACCAGGAAGATCTTGATTGTGGGGTCATTTTCTACGGAATTAAATACAGATCGAAGTAACATAGAACTTGGGTGTTTATAGAAAATATTTTACCAATTTCCACTTTTTCCCATTGTACAAATTCAATGAAATTTGTTTGAATAAGAAAGAGTTATAAAAACAGTAATTATACCCCATCATCTAATCGTTGTCTTCTTTAGAATGAATGAGTTGTAACCAAAACAACCAACATCATTTGCAAGCTTAATTACTGTTTATTTTCATTTATACATTGACTTATTTATATCCTGTGTCCCACATGGAGCTGAAGTGACTGTTGCTCTTCATTTTATTGGTTTTATTTATAATTCATTACCTAGGAGACCCCAGTTCTCTTGGAAATGAAGTGTATGTTAATTTGAGTATTTTTGCTTCAAAAACTTGATTTAAATAATACATAAAAATCTCTATGAAAGACCACAGAAGAATATCCAAGTTTTCCAAATCCATCAGAGAATACAACTCCCATGTCTGTTGGGGGTGGTGGTGGTCAGGGGCTTTAAATAAAACAACTAAAACAATAAGTGACCAGCAAACTCAACCATCTGGGATGACAGAGAGCTAAGAGTCAGTACTGGCATTTCAGAAATTAATTCTGAGCTGGAGCACAGTTCTGCCTCATTTGGTCTTAGTTTAGGTCACATGCCTCCCCTTGCCCCCAGTTTATCCCTAGAAATGTTTAAGAAAAACCACTGAGTAAATACTTACTTCCTTATTAACAGACCAAATCATTTGACTTGCCTTCAAGTGATTAGCCAACTGAGCTAGTCACTCCCAGGGAGGCCACTGGGAGTGAGTATTTGGTGGATAAGAAAGCCAGACTGGTGACCATCTTTTCTTTTTTATATATACTCTTTAAGTTTTTTTTCAACTACAGCAGACATCATATTAGTTTTAGGCAATTAGACACTTATATGACTTAAATAGTGATCATCCTGATAACTGACGTCCCAACTGACACCATACATAGTTATTACAATATTAACTGCACCCCCTATGTGGTACTTTACATCCCCATGACTATTTTTATTTACTTTAAAAAAAATTATTAATTTTTAGAGGTGGGAGGAGAGAGAGAGAGAGAGAGAGAGAGAGAGAGAGAGAGAGACGTCAATTGGTTGTTCCACACTTACTTATGCATTCATTGGTTGCTTCTTGCATGTGCCCTGACGAGGGATGGAACCCACAACCTTGGTGTATCAGGATGATGCCATAACCAACTGAGCCTACCCAGCAAGGGCTCCCATAACTATATTTAGAATGGGCAATCTGTACTTCTTAATCCCTTTGGCTTTTTCACCATTTCCCCAACCCCCTTCCTAACTGGCAGTCATCACTTTGTTCTTTGTATCTATGAGTCTTTTTCTGTTTCATCTGCTCATTTATTTTGTTGTTTAAATTCTACATAAAAGTGAAATCATATGATTTTTGTGTTCTTTTGTCTGACTTATTTTACTTAGCATAATGCCCTCTAGGTCCATCTATGTTATTGCAAATGGCCAGATTTCATTCTTCTTTATGGCTGAATGATATTCTGTTGTGTGTGTGTATATGTATACCATATCTTCTTTATTCATTCATCTTTAGATGGACACTTAAGTTGTTTCCATATCTTTCCAAATTGGTGTTTTGGATTTTTTCAGATAAATACCCAGAAGTAGAATTGCTAAGTCATATGATAGCTCTATTTTTAAGTTTTTGAGGAACCTCCATACTGTTCTTCATAGTGGCTGCACCAATTTACAAACCCACCAACAGTGTACAAGGGTTTCCTTTTCTCCACATCCTCGCTAACACTTGTTTGTTGATTTATTTATGATAGCCATTCCAACAGGTGTGAGGTGATATCTCATTGTGGTTTTGATTTGCATTATTCTGATGATTAGCATCTTTTGTTGATGCTAAGCATCTTGTTGTTGAGCATCTTTTCATATGTGTATTGGCCATCTGTATGGCCTCTTTGGAAAAATGCCTGTTCATGTCATCTGCCCATTTTTTAATCTGATTGTTTATTTTTTGTATGAGTTCCTTATATTTTTTGGCTATTAACCATTTATTGGATGTATTGTTGATGAATATATTCTGCCATTTGGTAGGTTATTTTTTAATTTTGTTGGTGGTTTCCTTCACTGTACAAAACTTTTTAGTTATATACAGTCCCATTTGTTTATTTTTCTTATTTCCCATGGCCAAGAAGATACATAAAAAAATTAGTAAGAGCAATGTCAAAGAATTTACTACCTATAATTTCTTCTAGAAGCTTTATGTTTAATATTTAATCCAGTTTGATTTTATTTTTGTATATGGGGTTGTCCGTTTTGGGGACAACAAAGAAAGTTGTCCATTTGGGTGTTGGTTTTTTTTTTTTTTTTGGCATGTATCTGTCCAGTTTCCCCAATACCACTTATTCAAGAGTCTGTTTTTACCCCATTATATATTCTTTGTCTCTTTGTCATAGAGTAATTGAGCATATAGGCATGGATTTGTTTCTGGCCTCTCTGTTCTGTCCCATTATTGTACTTATGTCCTTTAAGCTATCCTCGTTTTTTTAATGACTGAAATCTCTCTTTTTTTATTTTATTTATTTATTTTTAGAGAGGGAAGGGCGGGAGATAGAGAGAGAGAAACATCAATGTGCGGTTGCTGGGGGTCATGGTCTGCAACCCAGGCATGTACCCTGACTGGGAATCGAACCTGTGACACTTTGATTTACAGCCCTCACTCAATCCACTGAGCTATGTCAGCCAGGGCTGCTATCCTCATTTTTTTTAAATTATTTTTTCTTTTTTTGTTATGGTTGGCTGTTTCCTGCTAACTTGTCTTTCAGATTGTTGAATGGATCCTCTGCTTTATCTAATCTGTTGTTGTTTCCCTTAATGTATTTCTCATTTCAGTTATTGTATACTTCATTTTTTATGGTTTTTCTTTTTTTTTGTTGAAGATCTGAGTTCATCTATTCTTCTCCTAATTTCATTGAGCATCCTTACAACCAGTGTTTTGAACTCCATATCTGCTAGATTGCTTGACTCCATTTTGTTTAGTTCTGTT